ATAAAGTCATCAGGTAGATTTCAATGGTAATGTTTTTCACCTCTACTAATAGCAAATTTTTATGCTTTGAAGAATTATTTTTTAATCATTTTAAAAAATTTTTAATTACATGATTAGAAGAAGCATTTCACCACAGCTTTAACATACTCAGTAACACACTCCAGAGCAAGAGTACATCTCTTTCACAAGTGGGTGCAAGTTTCTAGGTTTTGCCTGTTTTTATTTATTTTTATTATTTATATGTGTATGAGTGTTATGCCTGCATGTAGGTAAGTGCATCCATGTCATGCAATGCCTGCAGAAGACAGAAGAGGCTGTCGGATCCCCTTGAACTGGAGTTACAGTTGTTAGCTGCCATGTGGGTGCTGGGATTCAAACCCAGGTCTTCTGCAAGAATAGTGTTCTTAACCACTGAGCCATCTCTCCAGCCCCTTGCCTGTTATTTTTTTAAGATTTATATTTTATTTAATGTGTATGAGTGTTTTGCCTGCGTGTATGTAAGTGGACCGCATGCCTACATTGCTCAGAGGCCAGAAGAAGGCATTGGATCTCTTGGAAATGGAATTAGAGATGGTTGTTAGCCACCATGTTTATTTGAATTTTATGTGTATTATGGTTCTGCCTGCATGTATGTAAGTACACCACGTGCATGCAGTGCCCACAGAGGCCAGAAGATTGCTGCCGTGTGGGTGTTGGGAACCAAACCAGGGTCCTGTGCAAAAGCAGCCAATGCTCTTAACTGCTGAGCCATCTCTCCATCCTGATGACCAGAATTTCTTAATGAAATGGGTTTACTTCACTTCCAGTTTGATCACAGATATAAGTGTATAGATATACAGGCCTAACTATACCAAGACTATATGAACATTACTGCTAGCCATTGTCAAAAGTTTAAAGACACTGAAATAGGGTAATGCTTGATAATCTTTATGATCACAGACAGTGCTGATTTTATAGAATGGCTTACTTAAAGTGTAGTTTTACCAGAGTAAAGGGCATGCTGATTTGGTGTAAAGTCATGTACTAGGGCATGAGATAATTCAAAGAAATGTACACAAGGTCTAGGCAGGAAACAAACCTTCAGCCTGACTCAGAGCATATTAGAGTGATGGTCAGCTGACCTGTCCAGATGTGGACTGTTCTAAAGATTGAGTACTGCTTGGGATCAAGCCCCAAAACACTTCTTACTCAGCAAGATTTAATGTTCTTTTGACAATAAATAGTGGCTAAGAGTAAAGGTCATTTACTCCCAAGGACAACTTAAACCTTGTGCCAGTGAGATGTATTCCCACAGCAATGGCCCTTTTACTAGCTGTTGCTCTATGACCCTTCCAGGACTCTTAATATTAAACCAGAGAAAGTAGATCACCTCACATGGGAAAGACCTATGACGACAGGTAACCCACCTCCCTATGTCTTGTATGCACCAAACTGAAGGAAGCCTAGACCTGTAGTTTGTGGTACTGGTGACTACTGATACTCTGCTAAAAGCAAGTTGCCCAACATTAAGCCTTTTTATTTGCCTTCTGTATCGATGGAAATGATCTGTTCTTATGCACTGAGTTCAAATTATTTTAAAACTGGTGGGATAACACATTTGGGATTTGGAGACTGCTTTTATCCAGAACCTGCTGAGAACAGACTATTTAACACCACATGCTGTGCTTAAAATGATTGCTTAAGGCTCCTTCGCCTGAGCTCTAGCCAAAGGAGAAGGGTAAGGAGGTGTCTATTCCATGGCGCATACAAAGCAGACTGCCCACAAATCTACCAGTGGTAAAGCACTCAGGAAACAAATGGCTACAAAAGCCTCTCTCAAGAGTGCACCCTCTACTGGAGGGGTGAAGAAACCTCATCACTACAGGCCTGGTATTGTGCACTGTGAAATTAGAGGCTAACAGAGGTCCACTGAAATTCTGATTTGAAAACTCCCCTGAGAGAAATTGCTCTGGACTTCAAAACAGATCTGTGCTTCCAGAGTACAGCTATTGGTGCTTTGCAGGAGGCAAGTGAAGCCTATATGGTTGGCCTTTTTTAAGATAACCAACCTGTGTGCTATCCGTGCCAAACATGTAACTATGCAAAAAGATACTCAGCTAGCATGAGGCATACTCGGAGAATGTGCTTAAGAATCTACTATGAGGGGAAGCATTTCATTCTAAAAGAATATTTTTTCCTCTTCTTCCTGTCACCAGTTCTGAATGTTAGATATCTTTTTCCCATAGGGTCAAAGGGTACCTACGTATATTGATTTTGAGTGGAAAATAGAGGGCAGAAATCAGGTATTGGCAATGTTTCCATTTTCATTTGGCAATGAATATGTGAATTTTTAATATAAATTCAAGATGTAAAGCAATGAAAGTCAAAATGTTTCAGTGAACAAGTTTCAAAAGTTCAACTTCATAATAATTATTAATAAGCTTTTTTGTTAAAAAAAAAGCTTATTTGTTAAACTTTTCTGGAAAAAATGCTTTAAAATTACTTAAAATTATACTGCAATTTATTGATTTTGGAACTCAAAAAAATTGAGGCAGAAATCAGCATCTTAATGTGATGTCAAGAAACATGAACATAACTCATTTGCTTTTGTCTTATGGCTTTCATTTTTTAAAGACAGGGTCTGGCCTCAAGGATGACTTAGAATTTCTGAGCATCTTGCCTCAACTTGGGCTTGCGGGCATGTGCCACCATGCCGTTTGAACACTCCTACAACAATCAGGATGAGGGGCAGTACGGTGATCATATTTGAAACTGAGCCAATGAAACTAGGACCAAAGTGATGACTTGGCTTTGTATCAAAGTGGCAGTGGTTATGTCATCATTGCAGTTTAAGGATGTTCAAGGAAGCTGACATGCCCTAACTGTCCAGGGTTTGGTACCTTGTACTTTCCCCACTTCAGCCCTTTAGATTCCATTTCCTTGAACTAGAGACTCCGGTTGAACTCTCCCTTTTACTTCAGCAGTTACTGAGGAAGCCAGCCTAGGCATGAGGGAGGGACAACTGAGGCCTGGCTAAGCAGTCCCCCTCCTTTTTCAATATAATGGAGATAAGGTGTGTTGTCAAAGAAACTATGTATTTGCCAAAATTTGAAAGCTGGGGGCTGGGAGATAGCTCATTCTGTAAAGTGTCTGTTATGTCTGTAGGCACCAGAACCTGTGCACAAAAACAAAAGCCCACCATGGCAACACGTACTTGTAACTCCAGTGCTAAACAAGATGAATCCTTCGTGCTCACTGTCTGTTCAGCCTAGTCTACTTGGTAAGTACTTGCCAAGTTCCAGGCCAGTCAGAGACCCTCTCTCAAAAATCAAAGTGGCTGCTGAGGAACAGCAGCCAAGGTTGTACCCACAGGCCAGAAGAGGATGCTGGAAGCTCTAGAACTGGAGTTACAGATGATCAGCCACTATGTGGGTGCTGGGAACCAAACCTGGGTCCTCTGCTGACCTGTTTCTTCAGACCCTTCCCCCACTTATTTAAAGAGCCTCTCACCCTGCAGTCCAGGTTGGCCTCATACTTACAGTGATCCTCCTGCCCTCAGCTTTCTGAGCACTGGGACTATAAGGTATGAGCCACCACACTGCACATAATCGCATGTGAAGGAAGCTTTACAGGGTTCCAAAGCGAACTGAATTTTGCTACAATCTAGAATTTTCTATGGGCAGAACAGAAACCACATTCACTTAACATTCACAAATAGATGTTGCAATTTCAGTCTATTCCTGAGGATGGAAGAAGGAACAGGACAACCCATTATCTAAGCTGAAACACTTCATAGCCTCCAGGTAGGTACCCAGAGTACCTCTACCCTTCAGAAATAAGGCAGTCTACAATGCAGGTGGCTCCAAACAGCAATGGAGTTTGAATCAATGTATTTGGGGGTAGCACAAGGAATAAAAAGAGCCCAAATCGAAACAATGTTATCTCCAAATGTATCTCCAAGTCCTGAAAGTACCCACTTTGAGGGGCTGCAGGTGTGCACCTACATATATAACACCCCTCTCATGCTCTGTAGGTATACTGCTCAGATGAGCCTCCTCATAAACCCTAATAAAAAATGTAAAATGATGTTTTATAGAGATAGTAGTGTTCAGAATTTAAGAGTTAAGTCAAAAGGTAAGAATATGTTAGTGTTTGTCCACTATGCCAATTGTCCCAATCTTTAGCCAGCTGAACTGAGAATTCATTAGTTCTTAGAGAAGTCTGGATGAATATACCAAAACGTATTCAGTCCCTTTCTTCTGAGTCCAGGCTCATACTTTCACACTACTGAAGATCCCAGGTACTAGGAAACTGCACAACACAAGGAGCAGCAGGCAGTGCTTCAAGAACTGCTCTGAGAAGATGCACACAGGTTTGTGTGTATACTGGCTCCTAATAACAGAACTTGTTTCTGTGGGTGGCAACCAAATGTTGAGATGCATACTAATTCCTTGTGTTTTTCAATCACTCGAGTGCTATACCCCAACTATAAATACACATACATCACTCTTGATTTTGACCAGTGGGAATCAATTCACCCAAACCTTCAAAATCAAGAAACAGGCCCTGGGCTGGGTGTGGTGGTGCACACCTTTAGTCCCAGCACTTGGGAGGCAGAGACAGGAAGATCACTGTGAGTTCAAGGCCAGCCTGATCTACATAGTGAGTTCAGGTCAGCTGGGACTACATGGAGACCCTATCTCAAAAAAATAAAAGAAACGGGCCCTGGTGGATTTCTGGTGACAGTCCATAGCCCAGAAACTGGCCACAAGTTTCTACGCTGATGCTGCTTCTCATCGAAGCTGCTTGTTTACAACACGCTGGAAATGGCACTTTTTGAAAAGGGACAGAATATTTGGTTTTCACTGTGTTGCTTTATTCAGTTTGCTCCAAGGGCAGAATCAATAGTAGGGATCACAAACATTATTCTGAGTGGCTCAAGCCTGATCAGTAAAACCTGAAAAGCAGGAAATGTTACACAAGTTGCAGATAAAGCACTCCTGAAGTTCATTGACATGATAGCAAGTGTAAGGACAATAAATGCAACAGGTGTTAACACTGAGCACTTGGAACCTGTTCACTTCTAGACAATTCTGGGACCCTTGTCGCAAACCCTTCAGATATCAATGCTCATTTCCTTTGATATGAAATGTGACATTACACAGCTCTTCCTAGGCCTTATTCTTGCTGCACTTGAGTGGCTCCTATTCCTACAGCACTTGCGTATGCTGTCAGAATCTCCACTATCTGTTTAGTTTCTAGGGTCATTCGGGCTTCCTTTAGCCAGTCCTGTGCCACTCTTCTGGACTCCCCTTTCAGCTGATTGACAAATTTTGCTGCCAGCTCCAGGTCACCATGCTCAATGCAATAGGAGGCATATGATAGCAATTTAAACGTGTTTATATCCTCCGGGTAGAGCTCTGCTGGCGGCTTCAGCTGCTGAGGTGGGAATAGGAGGAGGGACTGCACGTATGAAAGGAAGTACTGGTACAGGCTATTTCTGGTTTCGTCAATCATCGCTACCCTTTGGGCTACTTTTTGGACAGCATAGAAACGAGCTCTCAGGGTCTCTTCACTGTAAACCCCCCGGGTCAGGGACTCTGGAGGAATAGCTGCAGTTAAAGCTTGGGCAAATTCATTATCAGGACAGCTGACTCTGATGGCCTCAACTGCACTCCTCAGTGGAATAGTGGGTGCTTCTGCAGAGGAGGTCTTCATGCTGTACTTCAATGCCTCCACTGAAAGCCAGAGTTGGTGGGCTTTTCTGGCTTCTTCTTCAGCAACTGCATGACCTACAAAAAAATAAAAGCAAAGAAAAGACAATTTTCTCTTTTCCTGACTGTATATAGCCACAGAAAAAAGATGGACCTTCAATAACCAAAATCCACCTAAGTAGATGAGGCCAGGGCAAGCCTCCCATGGCACCTCACACATCTTAGGTGTTCTTTCCTAGCTGTCCTCTTCTTCATAGGAGGCAACAGGCATGACACAATTTGATGAAGATCTGAGTCTACTAAAGAGAAAAAACTGGGAGGTTGCATGTGCATGGCACAAGGAAGTTTCCTTTCCCTTTCCTGTGAGATCTAGGACAATGCACGGCCAGAGAGTACACAGAAGTCAATTTACGTTTGTGGGCCCGCTAATTCAGACGTTTTCATCCTTAGTTGAAGATGTAGGAAAAAAAACATTCAAATGAGGCCAAGAATTTTAAGGACACCAGAAATTTGACAGCAAATCAAACCAAATCATGTAATATACACAAAGACTTCAAAACGTGACTAGGTCTTGACACTGCTTCAGTATTCTGCTTATTCTCACTATCATATGACAAAAAAAAAAAAAGATTCTAGAACATCCCTAAGACACCTATTTTATTAATATCCTCGTCAGGATGTGTCACTTTGAATGTGGCACACACAGGCCTCATTGTGACTATCACCACCACAGCAAGCCTCCACTCCCAGACAACCCCAAAGTGCCCTATAAGAAACCTTGAGGCAAAGCACATGAAGGAAAATACATTGAAAATGGTGGTCTTGTTAAGTTATTCTTATTTAGTTTTTAGATCCTCTTTTCCTCTTATCTGTTTGTTGAAAATTGTCTGGGACCAGGTTTCCAAGACATGAATAAAATGTAGCAAAGTGATTTTACCATCTGCACAATGTGACATCAGCACATGTCCCCTATTACTCTTTTAACAAGAAATTATCCCAAGAAACTGCACAGACTAAGACCTGTAACATTAAATGATACTCACTCTGAACAGCCTGCTCGATTCCTCTCAGTCTCGCATAGGCAGTGTTTATGTCCAGAGTAAAGTTGTCAATTTGCTCTTGACTGAGACGACGGAACTCTAATTCTTGCTCAGAGAGTTTCTCAGACAGACCCTGAAATAAAACACAAATAGTTGCCAGAACAATACTACTACTTGTCACTTAACTCACTGGTAGTCTTCCAGAAACAACTACCTACTCAAGTAACAAAGGCCTTTAAAATCTCAAAACAGCTATGAAACTGCTACCCTGTGAGTAAACTTCAAAATTCTGCTGACTCACATTTCTTAATTCTTTTTCTTTTTTGTTTATCTGGCCTGCTCCTGCGTCCTGTGTGCTGGGACTAAAGGCATGCGCCACTGTGCTTGGCTTAATTCTTTATAAATTTTGATAGGACATATTATTAGATGAAACAGTAGAAGAGGAGGTTTTCATAGCCTTTAAAGTGCCAACTTTATAGCATCTTTATGGTGGCACGTGCCTTTAATCCCAGCACTCAGGAGGCAGAGGCAGGCGGATCTCTGTGAGATGAAGGCCAGCCTGGTCTACATAGTGAGTTCCAAGCAAGCTAGGGCTACAGGGAGATCCTGCAATAAATAAAAATAAACAAGCAAATAAAATGTTTTAGGGGCTAAAGATGTGGCTCAGTGGTTAAGAACAATGGTTGTGCTGGGTGTGGTGGCTCACGCCTTTAATACCAGCACTTGGGAGGCAATGGCTGGCGGATCTCTGTGAGTTCAAGGCAAGCCTGGTCTACTTAGTGAATTCCAGGACATCTGGGGCTAAAGGGAGACAGTCTCAAAAAGACAAGAAAAGAAAAAAGAAATTTCTGTATTACAATGCAAATACAGCATAGATAATGAATACAGACATACAATTATTCTGAGGAATTTATATTTATTTTCTTTTTTTTTTTTTTTTGGTCTTTTTGAGACAGGGCCTCCCTCTAGCCCCAGCTGGCCTTGATCTCATAGAGATCTGCCTACTTCTACCTCTGCCTCTCAAGTGCTGGGATTAAAGGTGTGTGCCACCACACCCAGCTGTTTTGAGGATTTATAAAAATGCCATTTCACCAAAGCAAATCCTTGCCTTTTTTTTTTTAAAGGTTTATTTTATTTTGAGACAGGGTCTCACTGTGTAGCCCTGGCTGGCTTGAAAATCAGTATGGAGATGAGGCTAAGTGTTTGCCTGTATGTATTACGAACACCTCATGTGTGCCTACTGCCCCTGGAGGACATCAGATCCCCTGGAACTGGAGTTACTAACAGTTGTCAGCAGCCACACGGGTCCAGGGAACCGAACCTGTTTCTTCTGCAAGCACAGCAACTGCTCTTAATCTGAGCCTCCTCTCCATTCCCTCCCCATTCTTCATTATCCTCAGCTTACACTTAAAGAAAAGGAGGAGGTTGAGAGTGGGGCACAGTGTGTGAGGCTTGGGGTTCCAATCCTAGTTGCCACCAAAAAAATGAAAAGGAGAGTTTGTTACTGATGCATGTGAGGAAGGGGCTGAAGGGAGTCAATGCTTTACAACATGTCCTCACCTGCTCAAATTCATACTTCAGCTCCTGTTCTTGCACCTTAAGGACATCTCGTAAATGATCAGTATGGGCAGCAGCTTGTCGGCGAAGCTGGGTCCTCATTTCATTCTCCATGGCATCTCTAACTTCTTCTACCTGTGAAACCAAGCACAATAATGATCAGTTCTCAATTCACACAGAATTTTTTTTTGGTCTTTTTGGGACAGGATCTCTCTGTAGCCCCAAATGGCCTGGACTTGCTATGTAGACCAGGCTGGCCTTGAACTCACAAATATTCACCTGCCTCTACCTCCCGAGTGCTGGGATTAAAGCCATATACCACCATGCCCAGCACTTATCCATCTTTTTATATGAACAAGAAAGCTGAACCTTTGAAGGCACCTGATACAAGGTCACAGAACACACCAAAACCCAGATTTCAAACATTGATCTCTCTGGCCCCAAACCCTGGCATCCATCACGTTACCAGGCTGCTTCCAACAAAGAAACATGGTGTTCATTATTTCCTGAATCACACATTCCATAGGAAAGAACTACTTCCAGAACTTAGAGGAAAAAAACTACGAAGACTTGGGTTCAAACCTAGTTTCATCATAACCCGCTGTAGTGTCTATTTTCTCGGTGGTAATGATGCCAACTTTGAAAACTATCATGAGAAAGTTAATACCTGACAGGTATGGAACACAATTTCTTTTAAACAAAGAAAACTGCAACAAGTTACTTGCACATGAATTCAAATTTAACAAAGGCCAAATTAAAAGTTAGGAAAATCTCCTGCTTTACCTAATAATTAGCCATGGATCATGTTATATATCAACACAAATTACCTTAAATAAAGAACTCATCTTCTTTCAGAATTAGAATAATGTTCAATGAACCCATGCAAGTAGTATACAAAGATTTATGAAGACTGGCCCTGGGCCTGACAGGACCTACTACTATATGCTTGGATGCAAGGATACTCAGGACACACAGATACTTCAGACCATGATATTTATTTCCAAGAATGAATCCAGCAGGAGACGTGCTGCTAAGCATGAACTCCCATTCAACCTTCTTAGCTACTTTCACTTAAAACAGCAATATGCCAGAAACTGACCCACGCTTTAGACTGAAGTCATAGGAAGGCCACTTCGGAGAAAGTGACATCTAAGGTTAAAAGAGAGGAGACAGAATGCAGTAAAAAGCACAAAGGAGGTCGGGTGTGGTGGTGTACACCTTTAATCCCAGCACTAGGGAGGCAGAGGCAGGCGGATCTCTGTGAGTTCAAGGCCAGCCTGGTCTACATAGTGAGTTCCAGGACAGCTGGGGCTACAGGGAGATGTTGTTTCAAAAAAAAAAAAAGACCAAAAAAAACCCAAAAAAAACCCCCACAAAGGTCCCAGGGTGAAAGACATGTCAAGGCACAGAAAAAATATCAAGATATGGGGGAATGACAGGTGCCTGGCTCACAGACCCTTTGGGTATTGGTAACTAGAATTTGGACTACTGAGCCAGGAACACAGCTCAAGCTGTAAACCCAGCACTCAGGATGAGGCACTGTACCATGATTTTAAGGCCAGCAAGGACTACACAGCAAGACCCTGTTATTTAAAAAAGTATGCAGGACCACTGTGAGTTTCAATCCACCCTGTCTGCAAAGTGAGAATTGAGGGAGAGAGAGGGAGGGAGAGAGAGAGAGACCAAAGGAGAGAGAGGGAGAAGAGACATTTAACTATCTATGGGTATGAATAGGGAAACCTATTCAGATAGTAAAAGTTCAACTGAAGTGGAAAAGGAAAAGCAGACAGGTTTGGAATTTACTATGGATGTAGCTCCGGGAGGACTTTTTTTTTTTTTTTTTTTTTTTTTTTTTTTTTTTTTTGACATGAGACAGGGTCTCCCTGTAGGCCCAGCTGGCCTGGAACTCTCTATGTAGATCAGGCTGGCCATGATCTCACAGGTCTGCCTGCCTCTGCCTCCTGAGTGCTGGAATTAAAGGCATGCACCATCATGCCCAGCTTGAAACTGGAAGGATTTTTTAAGTGGACAGAATTTGAGTTGATGAGAAACAATCAAGCATGCTTGCCTTGAACAACTGGGTATATGGTGATCTAGAGAGAAACGAACTGCACTGCTAAGAGTCAGGTTGGGAAAATTCAAGAAATCTGCTTTGAGGCTGGTACGATAGCTTGATGTGTAAAGGTGCTTGCTGCCAAGCCAGATGACCTGGGTTCAATCCCCAGCACCCACATGGTGTGAAAGAACTGACTCCCACAAATTGACCTCTGACCTCCACACTCATACCTTGGCTTGTATGAGCCAACACACATATACAAATAAATAAATGTTAAAAAAAAACAATCTGCTCTGAACATACTGAACTTGAAGTAACTGGAAAATCCAACAGGAAACAGCATGTAGGCTGCCTAGTCAAAAAAGAGGCGAGAGCTTGAGAATGTACAGATCTGAAAAGGCTTTATACTCTAAAGCAAAAAGATTAGAAAAGAGCTCTTGGAGAGTTCAAGTAAATGTAGTACCAGCTGTGCTAGTACCTGAGAGGCAAAGGAGGCCAAGGAGAAAGAGGGAAGGTGGGAAAAAAGGCCAGAAGGGCACATGGCCCCAGCAGCCTGTAAAGAAAGCTTTTGAGGGTGGGCTGAGCAGTCAGGTTCCTTAAGTCAATCCATGACACCATGTCTGACACATGGTAACCTTAAAAGATGGCCAATGTAGCTATTCCCTTTGTAGCCACCAACTATCTAATAACCCTGCAGGTCAAGAATCTATTCAGAATTAAATGAGATTCTTTGAGCTTGGCTTTAGTGGACAGAGGCACCAGTGAGAAGAGCTCAAGGATCCCGGACAGCACAGCTGATTATGTTCTTACAACTGTCACATCTGCTCAAGCATTTCTTAGAAGCTCAGATTCTGAGAACAAAGCCCAAGTGCCACTTCACAGATGGCTTGGTATGATTTACATCTAATACTTCCAGTTGGTGACTGGCACAGTGATCATCTGCCACAATGATCTCCAGGAGACCTGTCAGCAAGCTAAGATCTACTGGAATGTTAGGCAACGCTTCTCATTTCTTCTACCTTTCTGTCTTGCTCAGCCTGTATTTCACCTCTGTGGTGTTCTAATGCTTTTGCCACTGCAGAATCAAAAGCCCGTTTTTCTTCCAGCTTTTGTTTTTCCAAGGCTAAGGCGATGTGCTGCTTCTCTGTGGCTTTCTGCTGTGCGAGCTCTCTGTTGAGCTGATCAATGCGACGATGTGCATGAGCAATCAGGGAGTTCAGGTCATCAGTAGAGAGCTTGTCGGCTAAACAGATACCATATCAAAATGTTAATGACTTCACTGAAATTATAAATCCCTACGGCCATTAAAGAAAAAAAGCAGAAAGCACCTAACATGACATTTCAATTCTCCAGTTAAATCAGAAATACGCAGTGTCTAGCCACTAAGGTTTTGTGAATTCTAAGCAAAGTAACATATAGGTGGGATCTGAGGCAGCATGTACAGTTCCTTCCCAGGAACCCAAATCAATCCTTTCAATCTGACTTCATTGTAAATTAGCTTTCTAATTTACTATAATTTTGCTTCTAAAAACAAAGCTTATAGATCACTTTCAATATTTCATTTTGCACCTAACTCCGATTAGCCCTAACAAGCAACCAGTTAAAGACTGGTTCTGCTAAAACAAAATTTCCACAGCTCTGTTCCTTCTTAAATGCACATTACCTAGGGTTGTAATCTGCAGAAAAGAAAGCACCAAAGAAACCCAGTGGTATCACTTTTGAAACATTCTTTTTTGCTTTTTTGTGTTTCTTTTGTTTTATATTTTATTTATTATGTTTATTTTACGTGTGTAAGTGTATTGCCTGCATGTAAGTGCATCTGTGTCATGCAATGCCCGCAGAGGTCAGAAGGTGGCGTCAGATCCCCTGGAACTGGAGTTATGGACAGTTGTTAGCTACCATGTGGGTGCTGGGAATTGAACCCGGGTCCTCTGCAAAAGCAGTCAGTGTTCTTAACCGCTGAGTCATCTCATCCAGTCCCTTTTTTGTTTCTGAGACAGGTTCTTCCTATAGCCTCAGCTGGCTTGGTACTCACTATGTAGACCAGGCTGGACTTGATCACACAGAGATCTGCCTGCCTCTGCCTCCCCAGGACTGAGATTAAAGGCATGTGCCACCACAAATGATACTTTTTGAAATATTCTTGCCCAAACACATGGCTAAGCTTAAATTCAAGTAGAAGATTATTGTTTTGTTTTGTTTGGGGGTGGGTGGGCAGAGTTTTATACTCTACAAGTGTTCTAATACATACCACAGGTTAAGAATAATGGTTCCAGAGGTCAGCAAGATAGCTCAGTAATTAAGAGCACTCACTGGCTGCTCTTGCAGAAGACCCAAGTTCAATTCCCAGCACCTACATGGAAGCTAACAACGATCTGTAACTCCAGTTCCAGGGGATCTGACGCCCTCTTCTGACCTCTATGGGCACTGCATGACACGGGTGCACTTACACACATGCAGGCAATACATTCATAAAATAAGAACAATAAATATTTTTTTAAAAAATATTGAAATAACAACAACAATACTAGTTCCAAATGCAAAAGCAACATTTTTTTTAAAATGGGGAATTCTATATGATAAATGATTCGTCAAAAAAAAAATTGAAAAGCAAAAAGCATTGAGACTCACTGAACAATTTCAATGTGTAGAACTCTGAAACTAATCTGAATGAAGTAATATAACTACAAATTCTTTCTATAAAATAGGAATACTTAGCACTGATAGGATGGCTCAGCAGTTAAGAGCAAACAACACTCTTATAGAAGACCCAAGTTCAGTTCCCAGTACCCATTTCAGGTGGCTTACAACCAGCTGTAACTCGAGCTCCACGGAACCTGACAGCTTCTTCTGGGCTCTCTGAGCAACTGCATTCACATGTGCACATACCCGCATATATACACATGATTAAAATAAATCTTTAAAAAATAAGAAATTTAGGGGCTAGAGAGATGGCTCAGCAGTTAAGAGCACTGGCTGCTCTTGCAGAGGACCCAGGTTTGATTCCCAGCACCCATATGTTGGCTAACAATCGGCAATAACTTCAGTCCCAGGGGATCCGAACCCCTCTTCTGACCTCCATGGGCAGTGCACGACATGGGTGCAGCTACCTATACACAGGCAATAAACTCATTTACATAAAATAAATCTTAAAAAATTAAAAAATAAGAAACTTAATCACTGAGTATTTGGCAGTAAAGAATTAAGTTTTAGGTCTAATAATGGCACTGTAATTATGTTTCTTAACACACAAAAAAAGTATTTACAAGGGGGCTGGAGAGATGGCTCGGCAGTTAAGAGCACTTGCTGCTCTTGCAGAGGACCTGGGTTCAGTTACTAGCATCCACATGGTGGCTTGTAGCCATCTGTAACTCCAATTCCACAGGTTTCAATACCTAGCCTTAAGGGGCACTGCATGCATGTGGTACACATATATACATGCAGGCAAAACAAACACATAAAATAAAAAGAAATTAAATAAGAAAGTATCTACAAAATGTTGGTTGTGGTAGCACACACCTTTAACCCCACCACTCAGGAGACAGAGGCAGGCAGATCTCAGAGATGTTCTACATAACTTCCAGGCCAGCTGGGGCTATAGGAGACTCAAAAAGGACAAAGAAAAGAAAGCATCTGAAAGTGAAATTCTTTATTTGGAGCCTGCTTTGACAAGAAGGGTGTGAACAGGTAAGACAACACTGAGCATGGATTTGATGAAATTGGGTGATAGGTTCATGTATGTTTACTATAGTCTTTTCCTTCATTTTAATGTTTGAAGTTTTCTGAAACAAGTAAAACAAAAAAACCCACATGATATGTATGAGTATGTACATGCATGTATACACAAATACACATTCTCTCACATCCACAGGTTTCTAACCACTTAACAAGTGTGTTCCTGAGATGGATGCCAAAAATATCCAGTTGAGAATTATCCCATACTCAAGTCTACTTGCTATCATTTATATGGCTTGGCATAAAGACCATAGGCACAACAGAGAGTGCAGTCTTTCAGGACTCAAAACAAATGCCACTAAACATAAAGTACCCATAATTACTCACCTAGGTCAGAAATACCTACAAAGAAAGAGAAGAATAGTTTGAAAAAGGAATGTGCACATTTTGGTTAGTGATCATTAAATAGGAACATTCAGAAGGATTGAGAAACTTAGACCAGGGAAGATAATTAATACTAGAAAGCAAAATAAGAGTCTATTTCCTAAATTTAAAGAGATTCTAAGACAATATATATCAAGGTAAGGTGTAATACTTTAAAAGAATGAGAGAATTACTGATTAAAAGTAGCTCAGGTTATAAGGAATTTGTCTCAATTTCACCAAAGCTATCAACTAAACTTTTCACAGTAAATAGAAGTTTCTTTCATCCTTGTCAACTGAACTACTTTGTAGAGTATTTCACTATCACAGTCCTCTCCCAACTTTTGAATACTTATGGAATTAATCTTTTTCTTCTGGGGGGATTTTGAAACATGGTCTTGCTATATCTTGTAATTTTTCTGCTTTAGTTTCTTAAGAGCTGGTATTACAGGAGTAAGGTACCACAAATAGAGCTGCGACCCGTATTTTTATGAGTTTCCTTAAGCCTGTACCTAAGGAGCAGAAATATTGTATTAAGGAGCATACACATCTTCAAATTCAGTACACGCTGTAAATCACAGTTCAACAACCCAATTGCTGAATGACTGCTCCGTAGTGCCTGCCCCTTTCTTCACTTAAATGTCCCTGATATACACAGATGCCACCATCAGTTTACCCTCAGATGACTATAGCACTTTTTAACCAACTTCCTTGCCTTGAGCCTCTGTCCCACTTCCTTAACCTCAATCTCATAATCTCATAAAAATGAGAAATTTCCAACTAAGCATAGCATCAAACACCTGTCATCTCAGCACTTGGGAGGCTGAGGAAGGAGAATGATGAGTCTAATGATGAGTCTGAGGCAGCCTTGAGTACACAGCGAGACTATGTGTTAGCACAATCCACAATCCACCACATCACTCCTTTTCTCAAACAAGTGCTCTATGCTGACAATACAAATAAATCAGGCAGAGATCAATGTGGTAAGAAAGAAAAGTCCTTATTCCACCCACCAACTTACTTGGACAACTCATTAACCTGTCTATATCTCCATTTTCTCACCTATAAAATGAGGACACAAACAATACCTATCATAAAGGACTGTTGTGAACCTTAACATGTGAAGTTCTTCAAACAGAGCCAAGCACAGAACAACACACCATAGCGTTATTATTACACTCGGCATTGGCATTGTGTATATTATATTTGGCATGATGAAAAAGAAAAGGTCTGGACATAATGAGCATTAGTAGGGATTTATAACTTAGAGAAAATACAAAAAGTAAGAGCAAAACAATCTGTAACACAAGTACATTAATGAGTTAAGTTTAAGTTTCTGTTTCATAGATGAGGACATCTATAGACGGCTGGAGCAATCCTGACATCATCACCTTCTCCAGAGGCATACAAGAAATCAGTAACACTGCCTGACCTGGGGGGGTGGAGTTGGGGGGAGAATGCATGGTGTGGGCAAAAATTAAAGGAAAACTTCACCAAACATCATTTGTGTCTTTCAAACTTTCTATCATAGGAGTCTATAGTCTTAAAAAAATTATTTTTTATGTGTATAAGTGTTTTATCTATATGTATGTTAGTGTACTTGTATTGTGCCATGCCCAAAGAGGCCAAAGAGGTAACTGGATGCCCTAGAATTGACATTAAGGACAGTTGTTAGCCTCCATGTGGGTGCTGGGAGCTAAACCCAGATCTTCTGCAAGAGCAGCCATTGCTCTTAACCACTAAGCCATCGCTCCAGCCCTAGCCTTACAAGTTTGTTAGTAATTGTCGCCCTTAACCTCTGAGCCATCTCACTATCTCCTGAATCTATACTCTCAAAATAATTAAAAATTAGGCCAGGTGAAGTGGCACATACCTTTAATCCAAGCACTTAGGAGGCAGAGGCAAGTGATTCACTGTGAATTTGAGGCTAGCCTGTCCTGGTTACATAGCAAGTTCCTACATAGTGAGAACATACATGCCTGTTTAAAAAAAAAGAGAGAAAAAGAGAGGAGGCCCCCAAAGTAAGGAAAATTGGGGACTTTCACATTTTGACTGACTCTTAGCGTAGGGATCTTCTAGCATGCTGCTGATGATACCCTGGGCCACACTGTCTTCCCTGTCAGAGGCTGCTCCGCACTGCAGGATGTTTGGCAGCATGCTAGGCCTCTCCAGTCCCTAGATCCTATTAACACCCTCCAACTATGCCATCAAAAATGTCATTTAGAAGGGCAAAAACGACCTGGACTGAGAACTCTTTAATGTCCCTGGGTAGTACAAGAGTTTTTCTTGCAGGTCCTCTGGGTTGCTGCTTCACCATCAAAGCTCCCTATAGTCTGATTTTTGCAGGTGGCTAGCCAGAGTTTCCTTCTCTAGGAAGACTGGGGTCTCGACATGAATTCTCAAGTGTGCCTTAACTAACTCATTACAAATGTTAAAGTACCAAATGTTTTGAGTAATTGTATACACCCATACATATCTGTGTTAATGTTAAAATATCACTCTAATTTGTATTTAATGCTTTTTTTATTTAATTTTTTATAGGAAATAAACTTTATTTATCTGATCCTGAGTACATTTTTAATTTTTGAGTAGAATAGAACAACTCATGAATGATACAGAATTAAACACTAGCTGAGATTCTGCTGACCATGATTAAAACTACCGGAGTACAGCCAGTTTTATCTGTTGTGACTGTGACAGAAATAAAATGTGGAAACAGTATACAATTCATCACGAGATATGCCAGAAGCATCTAGACTTCAACTGAAGCAGGTTTAAATTAGCTGATTAGAAGCTAAATTCCAAAAAAGAAAAGTGATAATCCTTTGGCTGTACTTACTCATCCCTTTCCATCCAGGAACAACTTCTGGCGTAATACTGTCCAGTTCTCTTCTAAAGTCATCCCGGGCCTGGACCACAAGTTCGTGATACTGAGACACAACCTTCGCTTCTGACTGAGCTGCCTGGACCTGAGCAAATACAAGAGGTAAATGATTAAGTGGAACACAAAGTACTGTGTATATTCTAAGAAACAGAAGCACTCTCTTTGATTTACTTATGCCTCGCTGGGAATCATAAGCAATACACACAAACTCAAAGATCAGAAAAAAGAAACATAAGCCTTGTCTTTTTTTCTTTTTCACATTTTTTTGATTTGTGTGAGCATGAGTGTGTGTGGGCACTCACAAGCCACAGTGTGTGGGTGGAAGTTAAGAGAACAACTTGCTTTCTAAAATGTGGGTCCTGGAGCTCAGGTTGTCAGGCTTGGCAGCAACTGCCATTGCCTGATCCACTGCTAGCCCCTCCACAGAAACTTTAAAAGTAGTAACTAAAATTTAAAGAAACGATACTTTTTAATATTTTATTATATTTTTATGTGTATGAGTGTATTGCCTGCATGTAGGTAAGTGCACCTGTGTCATGCAATGCCTGTGGAGCACAGAAGAGGCCGTTGGATACCCTGGAACTGGAGTTGGACAGTTGTTAGCTGCCATGTGGGTGCTGGGATTCGAACCCTGGTCTTCTGTAAGAACAATCAGTGTTCTTAACCACTGAGCCATCTCTCCAGCCGGGGCGAGGGGGAATGAATACTTTTTACAATGGAAAACTATAGTGAGATGGTAGGGATCTTATTATTTTCCTGAATTATTAAAAATACTTTGGGATGACTCAGTGGTTAACAGCAGTGGCTGTGGCTGCTCTCGCAGAGGACCCAGGTTCAGTTCCTGACACTCTCTTCTGGCCTCTGTCAGCACTGCACACATATCATTTGGTGTACTTACATATGTCTAGGCAAAACACTCATATACAAAAAGTAAAAATAAATATTTTTTAAAAATTGACTAAAAATGAGGGGACTTCAGGAATGTACCTTTTTGACCACATTATCCAGATCAACTATCATCCTGTGAAGCTTTCCCTCTGCGGCAGTTATATGAGGTTTGGCCCCAGCAACCTTTTTTTCCTTTGCATTTTCAATTACACTTTTCATCTTCTCTAATTCTTCTCTGAGAAACAAACAAAATTCAAGCAAAGATTTACTATAATCCAGAGAGTTTTAAAGTGAGTACAATATACAAATGTTCAAAGCCCATGGTGTAGGAGACTCAGGCTTTGGAACAAGACAAAGCTAGATCCAACTCCCAGCTAGCTCTCACACTGTGGCACCCTGGTTGGGGATTAGAGGCTACTTATGAAAAATATGTGGCATGCTGCCTGCCAACCATGAGCACTCAATGAATGGCAGTCACAGAAAGGATCAGGACTCTGCCAATGGAAGAGAAATTAAGGAAGGCTAAGGCAAGGGAGATGGCCATAGCCTGTACTGAATAAATAACTGGGTCTCAGAAGCCTCAGAATTTGGAATGTACCATACATTAGCCACACTGTGATTTTCCCACTACAAAACAAAGAACTCAGAGCCTGGACACATGAGTGATGTGAGCCACCATGTTTTTAATTTCCTAAGACATGCTCGCCTTATGAGAAGGCTTGTCTGTCAATATTTTTAAAGAAAGCAAATTTTTGAATGTCAACCATACCATGCTGTTACTAAAAACCCTTAATGAAATGTAGGTTTCAATTCTCTTATACTTGAGTTTCTGTACTTGAACCTAATTTTAGTCAATTTGTATCAAGACATAAAGTTAGATATACTAATTTAGTGGTTCAAGCAAACTGATTGACATATACCTTGAATTCTGATAAAACTGTCCATTAAAATCTTGAAATTAGAACAGAATCTTAGTAAATATGAAGACATACCAACTAAGCAACAATCCAATGAAAACGTGATTTTTATATGAGCTCTTTTCTATCAATTTCTACCCATTTTTATTTTAGCTTGTGTATTTTAGCTTTTTTTCTTTTTAAATCTTCCAGCTCCTGGGCCAATTCAGAACCAGCAGTGGTGCAAAAGGGAATGGTTTCTCTGCCTCCTTCTCATCTACTAAGACAGCACAAAGAAAGTCCAGCCCAAAGAGAAAGCCACCACGAGGCCCTAATTACTTGTCAAAGTCCTGAGTAATTACTTGGCTTTCAGAAGGGCATCGGCAGCTTCGTCCACTGCCTTCCTGCGCTCCTTCAGTGCGCCCTCCACGGTGCGCCACTGCGCAGACTTCTTCTCACCTGCAATCTAAAAAAAATTTAATTATGTAAACATACTAACTACTATCACTGTCAAAGACAGGCAAAGATTAAATGCAGATATCTGTGCCATGAAATTAAGAGGGGAAAAGATTTATATACACTACTTCTCAGAGAAGGAATTCATAATTCAAGATTCATAGCTAGACAAAGTCCATAACCTTCCTTCCATAAACCTAAAAAATATTGGGGCTGGAGAGGGCTCAGCGGTTAAGAGCACTCACTGCTCTTGCAGAGGACCCGGGTTAGATTCCCAGTACCCACGGGACGGACGATGGCAGCTACGAATCATCCTTAACTCCAGTTCCAGGGGATTCTGAAGCCCTCTTCTGACCTCTGCAGCATTGCATGACATGGGTGCACTCACATACATGCAGCCAATACACTCATACACGTAAAATAAAAATAATAAAATATTAAAAAAAAAAAACAACTAAAAAATATTTTGTATTCCAGGGGCATGTACATTTTCTAAGGAGAAACTTTTAAAGTTTGGGGGTTTTATTTGTTTTTTGGAGAAAGGGTCTCCCTGTAGCTCCCAGCTGGCCTGGCTCTTTTTGAGAATTTAGTAATTTTAAAGAAAACGTCCTGCCAGGTGTGCTGGCACATGCCTTTAATCTTAGCAGTCAAGAGGTGAAGGTAGGAGGATCTCGTGAGTTCCAAGCCAGCCTGGTCTACATAGTAAGTTCTGGGCTAGCCAGGGCTACACAGTGAGACTCTGGCTCAAAAAAAAGAGAAAGAAAACATGACCAGGAAAGCTAAGAACAAGAGGTTTTCATGAATTGTCTATGGATTTTAACCATTCTTCAATAAAGTACCAATTGGGATTATAGGTATGCACCAGTACAATGGTTACAAATTTTCTTTTGCGCATATGTGTCTATACTGTCCACATATGCAAGCAGTATGTGTATGTGCAGGTATGCATACCTGTATGGGCAGGACACAGATCAATGTCAAGTGTCTTCCTCTATCACTCTCCACCTTATTTTTTTTTTTTTAAAGACATAAAAATTTTATTAACGCTGGGTGTGGTGGGCACGCCTTTAATCCCAGCACTTGGGAGGCAGAGGCAGGCAGATCTCTGTGAGTTCAAGGCCAGCCTGGTCTACATAGCGAGTTCCAGGACAGCAGGGGCTACAGGGAGACCCTGTCTCAAAAAGACAAAAAAAATTTTTTTATTAACAAATGTACAAAACATAGTACAACTGTGTTTTACACAATTCACTTTTGTATATAACTGATATACACTACTTACAAGTATATACAAGACTCCCACCTGTATGCAATTCTCTGGTCCATCTGTGCTCACATCAAGAGAAACCTGTTAGCATTTCACCATTAAGTGTCTCTGCAGCAATTTCTGCTGCCTTTGCTCGAGCAGGTGAGATAATACTAGACATAACTTGCAGTAAAGTACAATTTTTTAGGTGATGTCAGCCATTAATTTTCTTCTTTTAGACAGGTATCCACAGCCCATATGGACTTTTTTTCTTATCTATTTTTGGTGATCCTGACGATGTCTTGGCAGCACCTTTAGCTGTCTTCTGTACTGGTTCTAATAATTCTGTAGCAAATCCACCTTATTTTTGAGACAGGGTTTCTCACTGAACCTGGAGCATCCCATTCTGGCTAGAGTGGCTGGCCAGCAACCTGAGATCCTCCTATCTCCAGTCTTGCACCAGCACTGGGGATGTAGATGTGTGCCATGGAGCCTGGCTTTCACGTGGGTGCTGGGAATCCAAACTCGGGTCCTCAGGCTTGCACAGCCAAGTACCTTTTCCCACAGCACCTAAAATTTTTCTTAATTACAGCTCTATCAAAGGTATAATTGAAAGACAAGTAGGAGGTTTACACATTTACAGGGCCATTGCTACATCAAACAACAACCGTAAATCATGTCACTTCCAGAGCTGAGAAGATGGGTAAAGTCAAGTTCAAGGCTATCTTCAGCTACATATTAAGTATGAGGCCAGTCTGAGCTACATGACAAACCAACAACAACAAACAATAATAATAAAAACATACAAACATGCAGAAAAATAAACAAAAAAACACACTCAAAAGTTGCTCTGGGAGGACAGTGCAGCCAAGATAAAAAGTCTAGTTTGCTCATTCAGGACTCTACTTCAGCACCAATTCCCAACACTACATTCCCACTGGCATCTGATATATTGTTTTGGGAACACAGCAATTATTTGGCACTTTTCTTCTTGCTTTATAGAGACCCTTCCCAAATGAAAAAATAAAATTAATGGGCTAGAGAGATGACTCAACAGTTAAGAGCACTGACTGCTCTTGGAGACTAGATTTGGTTCCCAGAACCCACATCTGGTAGCTCACATCTGCCTTACTGTAACTCCAATTCCAGGGGTTTTGATGCTCTCTTCTGACCTGAGGCAACTGCACACACATGGTGCACATACAGACAAGCAAGCAAGCACACAAACACACACACACACACACAAATGAAAATAAATTTTGAAAGTTTTTTAAAAGTTTATTTAGGCCAGGTGTGCTGTCACACACCTTTAATCCCAGTATACAGGAGGAAAAAGCAGGTAGATCTCTGTGAGATCTAGGCCAGCCTGGTCTACACAGCAAGTTCCAGGCCTGCTGGGGCTACAGGGAGATCCTGTGTCACCAAAACAAAACAAAAATTTATTTACCTGGGCATGGTGGCATGTGCCTTTAATCCCAACATGAGGCAGAGGCAAATGCTCTCTGAGAGTTCTAGGCCAGCCTGGTTGACATAACAAGTTCCAGGCCAGCTAGGGCCACCATAATAAAACTTATCTCAAAAAACAAAACAAAAAATTTAGCGGGGGAGGGGAGTTTGAAGAGATGGCTCGATGGTTAAGAGCACTGACTGCTCTTGCAGAGGACCTGGGTTAGCTTCCCACCACCCACGTGGCAGCTAAGAACTGCCTGTAACTCCAGTTCCAGGGGAATTCGAAGCTTTCCTCTGACCTCCGAGAGCACTGCACCACATATATGCAGGCAATACACTCATACACACAAAATACAAAATATTTAAAAAATTTTAACATAAATAAAAAATATTTTTAAAAAACCCTTTTTTGAAGAAATAGTTGGCACTAAAGCAAAAAAAAAAAAAAAAAGGAAACAAACATTCAACAACTATTAAAAAAAAAAAAGCAAACATAGGGTTGGAGAGATGGTACAGCAGTTCAAAGTGCTTGCTACTCTTGCAGAGGACCCAAGCCCAGTTCTTAGCACCCACATCAGGCAGCTAGTTACCGGTAATCTGTAACTCCAGTTCTGGGGAATCTGACATCTCCGACCTCCACTGGCACCTGCACTCATGTGTATAGACAGACAGACAGACAGACAGACACACACACAAAATATATATAGAAAATATATCTTAAAAAAAAAAAAAAAGGCAAATCTAAGATAACTCTCAAGCCGGGTAAGAGTGTGCATGCACCCAACGTAATCTCAGTATTCCTGAAAGTCATCCTCAGTTATGAAGTGAGTTCAGCTTCAGCCTGGGCTACATTCAACCCTGTCTACAATAAGACCCTTCTTCTCAAACCAATACAGTGTTCTGAGATAAAACAAAGAACCAGATGTAAAATTCACTTAAAAGACTATTTAAATTTTTTTCTTAGTTTGTCTATTCTTAAGACAATCACTCCAGCCAACCATACATCTGTGATTTCAATACTCAAGTCTGATGCTAGAGAATTGCTGCAAGTTTGAGACCAGTGTGGGCTACATAGTAAGAAAATTCTAACTCAAAAATAAAGAAAAAAAATTACTATAGATTGCCTTTACTCAATGAGAGAAAGCCTATGTATCAAATGGAAGCAGTCAGTCTATGACACAGGTCAATCTCTCCTTGGCTCACCTCAGAATCGTCCATGGCTGTTTTCAGCATATTGGAGTGTGCATTCACAGCTTGAACTGCAGCATTCTGGGCTGTAATAGCCTGCAAAGTGACAGACTCAGTCTGGCTCAGAGCATCTTCTAGGCTCTTGGCTAAAGCTGAAAAAAGAAAAAAAAAAAAAAAAAACTTAAAAAAAAAACAAGAACAATTCTCCTCCTTACAAAAGACTTTAAATTTGTACTCTTTTCCTAAAAGTCTTCAAGTACAATTTTTAAAAAATATCAAAACAAACTAATAGAGGACCCAATTTTAGGGCATCATAGTTCACTTAAAAGATTGGTAGGACACTGATAATAATTAATTGAGTCTGAATGGTGGATATATCAGAATCTATATATTGTCTTATATTTTTACTTTTTAAAAAAAATTTTTTTATTTTATGCGTATAAGTACATTGCCTGCATGTGTGTGAGTGCGCCTGTGTTGTGCAGTGCCGCGGAGGTCAGAAGAGGGCTTCGGATTCCCCTGGAACTGGAGTTAAGGACGGTTCGTAGCCGCCATGTGGGTGCTGGGAATTGAACCCGGGGCCTCTGCAAGAGCAGTCAGTGCTCTTAACCTCTGAGCCATCTCTCTAGCCCCTATATTTTTATTTTTATGAATATTTGAAAATTTCAAATTAAAAGGTTTTAAGGGGAAAAAGTGTTTAAAGGCTAGTATATTTCAAATGGAACAGGTTTCAAACATTCTAAAGGATACATATCTAGTTTAACCATTAGCTTTTTCATTTAAATAACAATTATATAGACCTACCAGGAAAAACAGATGCCTATTTTCAACTTTTAAGCAAGAGAAAAACCCACAGCAAAATTTTGTATGGCCAGGATACAAGGAAATAACCAGACAAGAAAACATATAAACAAGTAAAAGAAAACCTGAACAAGATAGCACACGCCTATAATCCCAGCACTCAGGAGACAAGAGGCAGGACAATCCCATGTTACACAGTAAAACTTTGTCTCAAAACAATCAAAACTAACCGGCAAGATGACTCAGAGGGTAAAGGCACTTGCTGCCAAGCTTGACAACATGAGTTTCAATCCCAAGAACACACATGGCAGGAGGAGAAAACAAACTCCGTAAGACATTCGCTGACCTCTGCCAAGTGCAACAAGCACCACCATTCCTGTACTCCCAGCAGGAAGCATAGGCAAAAGGATCAAGAGTTCACGATCATCCTCAGCTAAATTAGTGAGTGGGAGGTCAGCCTGGGCTATATAAAACCATTCTAAAACAAAGAAATGAACAAACCAAACAAACAAAAAGGAAACTTGGAATGGACAGTTTTTCAATAAAAATCACTCAAGACATAGATCTCAATGTCTATTAAAATATTTTTATTTGGGGGCTGGAGAGATGGCTCAGTGGTTAAGAACACTAACTGTTCTTGCAGAAGACCGGGGTTCGAGTCCCAGCACCCACATGGCAGCTAACAACTGTCCGGATCCAGTTCCAGGGTATCCAACAGCCTCTTCTGTCTTCCATGGGCACTGCACGACACAGGTGCACATACCTACATGCAGGCGATACACGCATACACATAAAATAAATAATAAAATATTTAAATAAATAAATCCAAAGTTTTTTAAAAAAAGAAAAATTGAAAAGGAGAAAAATACACCAAGGGTGGTGTGGTACAAGCCTTTAATCCCAGCACTTGGGAGGCAGAGGCAGGCAGATCTCTGTGTGTTCAAGGCAAGCTTGGTCTACATAGTGAGTTCCAGGCCAGCTTGGGCTATAGGGAGATTCTCAAAAAGACCAAAGAAGAAAAGGAGAAAAATACAGAAATAATTCACTTATAAGCCACTTCTTTAACATTCTCAACTATGTATAATATGGCTAAGAATTCAAAAGAACATACACAAACACACAAAATTTAAAATCAAAAGAAAAATCCAAGCCAAACTAATGGCTAACACATGGCTCTACCACTTTTTCACACAATTCTTACAATGCTGGCTCCTCAGAGCAGGGCAGAATCAATGCACTGGTAAGGAAACAGAACTACTCACAGCAACAAGAAACAAAGGTAAGTGATGTTCTTGGTGAGAAACAAAAAAACTTACATCAGTTGTTACAGAATTTGAAACTACTATTCTCTGTTCAGCAAAAAGTCCTATAAAATTCCACTGTGTCCAGAGACACCAATGTATGGCAGCACAGTGTGACATTTACATCCATGTGCCTCCTTTATAACAGGAAACACTTGTTAATTATCAACATCTTTAAAACTATCAAAAAACATTAATTGGGGGTTGGGGAGATGGCTAAATGGGTAAAGTACTTGCTGCTCAAGCTTAAGAACTCAGTTCAGATCACCAGCATCCATACAAAAGTTAGGCACAGCAAGGAGCATGCCTACAACCCCACTGCTTGGGAGGGCGTGGGGAGACAGTGGGGTGATGAGAAGGAGACAGGCAGATCCTAGGGCCAGTTACTGTAGCTGTAACAGTGGGCTCCATGTTCAGTGAGACTTTGCCTCAAAAAATGAAGTAGAGAACAAAGGAAGAAGAGGGCCAAAGTCAACCTCTGGTCTCTATACACACACTCACCCACACTCACATCTAGAACCCCCCACCCGCATAACATAAAATTGAAACTTAAAAATAAATATGCTTGTTTAGCTGAAAACCAGCAACATGTAGAACACTCCATTTCCCACCAATATCAGATATGATTTCCAACAGTGAGCATCCAGAGTCAAGGTAATAGGCAGTGTCTGAGACACTGTGGCTTACACAGATAAGTTTACAAGTTTTATAAACTGAATCAATTTCTGTCTCCCAGAATACAAGGAATCTTCAGCACTAGCTTAATAAAACATCTGGAATGTTCAGCAACTAAACCCTCAGAATAGGTCATATCACCTAGGTAAAAGCAATTTAGATGGCAAGAACACAAAACAATGAAATGTTGGTGGGGAACATGGCAACGACACTAAAGAAACAAAAGAAACAACTGGTCCTGGCTGACAAAGTCAGGTGATGGTTTAAGAGAGCAACTGCAAGGGGACTTGAAGCAATGAAGAAGCTACTTGGTTACATACACTCCATCTCTACTTGTTCTTGCTTTTCCTGTTTCGCTAGGCGAGCTGCGACTTCTTCAGGTGGTCGCTCCCTTACAGAAGGTGAGAATGCTTCCTCTTGCAGCATAAGTAAATAAGAAATCAAATTTCAGCACAGAATTTTAACAGCTAACAAGGATACAAACCAGTTATATCAATGCGAAGTGGTAAAGATTCTAAAGCATCATCACTCTTAAAGATTCCAAAATGAAGAAATAGGGCTTTATTTTCAAAGACTCATTTGGTCTTATAAACTAAAATGTTTTCCTAGGGTGAAGCCTGGAGAAGAGTACACATGAATACTTAACACAGTATCTAGGGGCTGCCTAGGCAATGCATAGTTCTGGTGGGCATACCATCTATAACACACAAATACAAATTATTAAACTACCTGAGGTTACAGGTGTGGGTTTTCCTCCAACAATGACAGGATCGTCAGTTTTTACAGAGTCCTCATGCTGAATCGCAGGGGCTGGGACAGAAAGTGTATCACCTGCTGCAGAAATAACTTGAGCTGCCTCTGTAGGTGCTATAAATATATATTACGCATGGTATTTATGCTTCCCTGGGTTAACAGAAACACAGAATCTACTACTGCTTCCCACCTCACATCTGACTACTAAAAAATAAAAATACTTCTATACTTGATTAACACACAAAGAGGCACTGTTTACTATATAAACGCACAGAAAATTAACAAAGGTTGGGAAGGCACAAGATAAAGAAGTTGTCTTGATGGGTACTGGTACTTTAATCCTTACCTAAGGCAAAGCTTCCAGAAATAGTGCTAAATTTAAGCATACAAGAAATGCACATCAGACTGACACAAGAAGGAGAAAAACTAGCAAAAGAATATAGAATTTGTACCAAAGAAGAGCAGACAAAAGAAAACAATTAGCTAGAGTCATTTAGAAGACTGTAAAGAAAAGAAGAGGTATTGAGTGATCAGGAACAAGATGACAGTCTTAAAATAAGGAAGGTTCAAAGTGAAGATAGGTAGTTTGTGAAGAACAGAACTCATTTTAAAAAAATCACTTCAAAAATACAATTTTAAAGAAAGAATACTATATTTATGGACAAAAATGTTGATAAAAAGAAAATTCTAGAGATGAAGTAGGAAAGCAATACAATGAGACAAATTTTGTTTTAAAATATATGCCCTACTTCACAGATAAAACTGAATTGTTGCCAGGCGTGGTGACACACACCTTTAATCCCAGCACTCAGGAGGCAGAGGCAGGCAGATCTCTGTGAGTTCAAAGCCAGCCTGGTCTACATAGTGAGTTCCAGGCCAACTGGGGCTATAGGGAGACCCTGTCTCAAAAAGGCAAAAAACAAACAAACAAAAAAAACCCCACCTGAATTGTCAATAAAAACCCATTAACTGGCCTCCTTGCCTCTGGCCTGGGTCCCTTATCTACCTACAACATACTAATTTTTTTTTTTTTTGG